CACCGGCCTTCTTCTTAGCCTAGTGGTTAATTGTGCTAGCATGATTCCTCAAGGTTCTGGCTTCGAAGGCTGGTATTTGTGATGGTGATGATGATGAATCGATGAATGGATGAGAGGTTGGTATTTAAGATAATTTCTGGCAGCACGATATATGATGAACGGAGAGGATCCTCATTTCCTTAACCAAATGAGGTATTCTAAAATACCTTTGTTTTTCTATATTTTCCACATGGAAATCTATATTTTCCACATGGAAAATGATACGAAGACATTGTGAATTCCATTTACAAAAGCAAATTTTTATTTGGACCCAGTTTTTTTCTTTTTCAACCCAACTTTAATATTTTGTTACCTAGAATCTCTAGTATACCCTCATAAATAATAAACATAAATAAATTGGAAAACAAAAACTCATCAAACCTATTTCCCGACTATTCTCTCTCCTTCTGGCAAGCTCCTCCCTGTATTTGTTGGGTCTTTCTCCCCATAAATAAATTGGAAAAACAAAAACTCATCAAACCTATTTCCCGACTATTCTCTCTCCTTCTGGCAAGCTCCTCCCTGTATTTGTTGGGTCTTTCTCCCTCCCGACTATTTATTGTTTCCTGATATGCAAGAGAAGAGAGAAGGTCTGGAGTGGTGGTTGAGTGGTGGAGCTGCATGCTATCTTGGTTGAATGGGTGTAGAAAGATATTTAATTTTCATTTCCTTATTTCATTTTGTATAAGGGGTAAAATAGGAATTACAGAGATTTATTTTTGTAGCTAGGTGTAGAAAGAGCTTTGTTGGATCTCAATATAATTTACCTTTACAAAAGTATCTCATATTTCTGGTTTCTTTTTATTTTAAAATTTGTCATTATTAAGGGGAGGGTAAACTTCGAATACGGAATGCATGAGTAGAAACAAATATATGTCATGTTACAAATGGTCAAATTAAAAAAATGACTAAACAATACTGTAATTGGTTGGGCCCAAATACAAAGTTTAAATTTGTGCATGAAGTTTCCACTGGTCTTATTCCTGGCCTTGTGTACAAGTGCTGAAGCTTGCTTCCATTAGGTCTCAGGTTCGACGGCTGGTATCCGTTGAGATGGCGAGTTTGATGATGGTCAAGCATGTGTATATGTATGTGTGTGGTGGCAGAGAGTTGAGTTCGCTTTTGAGATAATTTCCTTAGCATTTCTCATATATCTCTATACATAAAAACAAAATGAGGTATTTCAAAATACCTCTGTTTTTTTATGAGTAATGTTAGAGAGATTTTTTTTTTGTTAAAAGATAAATTTTGTTAGATTATATAGTACGGAGATTAAACTTATAGATAAAATTTTGTAAATTAAATAACGTGAAAGTTGATGATTGGATTGTTACTCAAATGTTAATTAACGTGCTTATTTCTTATTGCTGATATATTATTTAGTTTAGAAATTTAATCTAGCATACTCTTTTTTTTTATATATATATAGTTTTCTCCCCTCTGTTTTATTTTATTTCGTTCCATTTATTAGGTTAACACCAATTATACTATTTTGCATTCTATACTTTATTTCTTATGCAATTGTATAATTTATTTCGTCAAAATATAGTTCAATTTAATATTCATTTTTTAATAAACTTTAAAAATATGCCTTACAATACAACAAATTTAAATGTATTAATAAAATGTGTAAAAATAACGTATATTATATGTACAAAGTATGTATATACATGTAATTTAACAAATTATTAAGATGTATACAAAAAAACATAATTAGGTGCCTTTTTTTTTTATGAAAAACTTTCTTGTGTTAAATGTTTGAGTAATGTTAGGGAGACAAAATTTGTAAACTAAATGACATAGAAGTTAATGATTGAATTATTACTTAAGCATTAATGAACGTGCTCATTTCTTATTGGTGAGACATCATTTAGTTTGTAAGTTTTGTCTACAAATTTAGCCTTCCTAGCATTACTCTAAATGTTTATTTACCCTAATACGCAACTACGATTATGGACAAAATACATTCAACATAAAATAATGTATCTTCTTCTTCTTCATCTTCCTTAGCAAATATTGGGGTTTGGTTAACAGCCTCAATACACCTTATGTTCATATATATATATATATATCTCTCTCTCTCTCTCTCTCTCTCTCTCTCTCTCTCTCTCTCTCTTCTCATAGCGTAATTTGGTATTTTAGGGTTTGGTTTGCATGAATTTGTAATTTGAAATTGTAATTAATTAGGGTTTGATTTTATGCTTCATTCTTCATCTTCTGGATTTAGGAAATTCCATCCAATTTCCAGTTTGTTGCATTCAATTTATTAGTGTCAATGGGTAACTCCCCGAGGGCACAAAGGCAGAGAAGAAAAGAAATACAAGTACATGGATTGGAGTGTTGTCTTACATAATACCCAATAGTAGGGGAGAGACTTGTTCCATGTTAATCAAACATTCAATACTTCTAATACAATTTCTATGGGACTGTGGTGATGAAATTTGGTTGTGGTGTACTCCCAGTGCACGGTTGATGTCTTTGTGTTGCGATGTCTTCTTTGAGTTAAACACTCGGTTGTTTCTTCCATCGCAGCTACCTTGATCGTTGATGGCAAGACTTTCGTGACGGCGGGGGCAATGCTCAGCCTTGGAAGATAGAAATTAGAGTTTCTATTATGTTTGTTTTGGTTATTGGGTTGGGTTTATTGTGTACTTTGGATTTTTCCAATTTTTTGAGTTGTTTGTCATCCTTTGTGTTGGCCCGGTGATATGTGTTGGTTTGTCCAATTACAACCCTTGTTTTTTCTTAATGCAATGAAATTTACTTATTGGATAAAAAAAAGAGTATGAGCTCTCTAGTAATAGTAATGGATAGGATGATTGTAATTACCAAAATAGATGAGGAGAAGGCGTGGCAGTTGGTTGTGCTCGACGAATTCCTTATTTTCGTGTCAATTTTTAGAATAGGGTTTGGGTTTTGAGTTCATATAACGTGTCATGTGCAAAATTCTAACTTCTTCCTGCGTACCAGAATACCTCAGTTTGTTGCATGACTAGAATTCATTTCACAAATTTCCTCTAATTAAAGTGATGGAAAAGATCAAATTTCTCTAATGGTCCTTCAATCCATGGGCTCTAGTCTCATTCATCCTTCATATTAGTCCAATCGTTACTTAAGTTAATTTCTCTATCTATTTGAGCATATATTCTCATTTGGAGCCTAAATTCGAAGAATTTATGCCTCATTTGACATATTGAACTAATGATGTAAATGAAATAAAAAAGAAAACGTTTGTATTTTATCTTCTTTATCTTTTTTATGAACTTGGTCAATTTATGGATAAAATATGCTAAAAGTAAATCCATTGTTATGTTTTCAACCAAACTGAAGATTGTTGAATCATTGTAAAGATTATTCACTTTTACTTTTTGGTTGTAAAATTTAGCTAACTTTATTATATTAATCATTCCTCATGATCAGTAGGTGTGTATATAAATTCATATTTATATTTCACAATTTTCCAATGTCTGTTTTAAGGAGCGTACAATATGAGTGTTTAAAAATATAATTACAAAAACGTATCTCACTCCATGTAAGTTAATACACAAACCAAAAGCTTATAAGTTCTATTAACATAGGAGTTATCTCATTACACATTGATGACACATTAATCCTCATCTTCATGTAGCCTCGGTACACCATGAGACATCAACATATTTTTTGCCTTTGGGTCAACAATATACCAAACAAAGTTAGTGGCTCCAAAAATACATTTGTGAGAGTTCAAACTCGAGCAAGCCTCGTGGTTAAATGTACCAGCATCAACAACCATGGTACTTGGTTCAATGCAAAATTAACCTTTAAACACGACCTATGAAAACCCTCGCTCAATATTTTCGTACTACAAGAGGACATTGGCCCAAATCCAAATGGTTGCAGTTATGTAAACTTAGTTTGTGGGGATTTGTACCGGCCTTCTTCCTAGCCTGGTGGATAATTGTGGATTGTGGGAGCATTATTCCATAGGGGTGGGTTCGGTTTAATTCGGTTCGGTTTTTTGCCAAAACCGAAACCAAACCGAAATTTCGGTTCGGTTCGGTTCGGTTCATTTTTTTTTCGGTTTTTTTCGGTTCGGTTTTTTTTCGGTTCGGTTTTTTTCGGTTCGGTTTCGGTTTTTTGTTTTTTTTTTCTTTCAAAAAATGAAAAACATTGAAATTTTAAATTTTAACGTATCCAACACAATTATAACACAAGCATTCTAACTATAATCAAAGACAATGAAAATAAACATTTAAAGTTGAACTAAAATCATCAATCAAGTCTTCCAAAGTCCAAACTAACAACATCACAACACAAAAATCGTACAAATGACTTAGAAAAGTTAAATTGTATGATGTTGTTCAAAGATCAGGGTTGTTTGCTTGTAACTGCATGTTGACAACTTGATTAGTAAAAGAAATGCGTGGGTGGATTTATTTAGTGTGTGTTGGATTCTTTTCCATCACAAATTCCCTAAGTAATCTACCCGAAATAAATGTTTATAGATTCTGTTACATGTTATATGAGAGTAGATTTGGAAAAGAAAGCTGAGACAAAAGTAGACAGTGCTATGGAGATGGATGTAGGTACTTCAGGATGAGGTTTGGCTCCGGAACCTTATATGGGGGATAAATAATAGGTTAGGGTTTAAAGTTTTTATAGGACTTTTTTTTAATATTTTGAGCTTAAAGTTTGGCAACACATTGGGTTTAGCATATTTTAACTTACAAATTGGGTTTAGAAAATAATATCCAAAACAAATAATTAAATAAAAAAATTAATTTAATTAATTCGGTTCGGTTCGGTTTGGTTCGGTTTCTAGATAACTAAAACCGAACCGAACCAAAAGAATTCGGTTCGGTTCGGTTTTTTCAATTCGGTCGGTTTTTTTGTTCGGTTCGGTTTTTTCGGTTTCGGTTCGGTTTGGTTTTCGGTTTTTTTCGGTTTTCGGTTTTTTGAACCCACCCCTATTATTCCATTAGGTTCCAGGTTCGAAGGCTGGTATCCGTTGAGATGGTGACTTTGATGAATCATGATTGCATGTGTTGTACGTTTGTGCGTGCGTACGTATTTATATGTATATATTTCAACAACATGAGGTACTTCAAAATACCTCTGTTTTTTTTATAATATTTTTTTCCCTTCTGTTTTATTTTATTTTATTTACTAGGTTAACACCAATCTAACCAAATCACATTTTAATAAAACAATATAGAAAAGCTTGGGTATATGCATCCTATTGTTATTTGCATTTTATTTACTAGGCTATCATTATCTTCATTACCTCGGTTTGGGAACGGAAGTACAAGAGAATTAGGGCTGGTTTTGTATTGATGTACTTTGAAAAAAAAACTGCTTCTGCTGTGCTTTGAGAATAAACAGCTGTGAATAAAGTAGCAGAGTGTTTGGTAAACTTTTTTGTAAAAGTGCTTTTGGAAAAAAAAAAAAAAACAGTATGATAGTGGATGTGGTAGTCTAGTGGGTTTCTGTGTTTCCATTTCTATTGTAGATCGGCAAAGCCGTTTCTGGTGGGTTTCTGGGTTTTGTGGAGATAGACAAAGGAGCACTGTTTTCTGGTTTGAGGGTGTTATTGGACTTTTGAAAGTTTCATTAAAGGAGCACTGTAGCTCCGCGTGTTTTGAAAAAAAAGTCAGTTTTTCAGCAGCATTTTAGCTGCTTTAGTTTTTTTTATGATTTCAGCTTATTCTCACAGCAGCTTCTAAAATAAACCCTTTTATTTGAGTTTACCAAACACCTTCAACATAAAAACTTTGAAAATAAGCAGCTTTTTTTTAAGCACCTCAATGCCAAACCATACCTTAGTGTTGAATTTTTATTAATTAGCAATTCTTTCATCTAAACACAGTGTTAATTATTTCTTTTCAATTATTTGAGCTTTAGTCTAACTATAAGAAAAGCATGAGGTTTAGTCATACTAATAGGTGATGATGGTTGGTAATGGGTTGTGTTCCATAAACCCATTCATTTACGTGTCGAGACTTGTACTAGTGCAAATTTCGGATCATGTCATAAATTATCACCCTGATCACCATACACTAAAACCAATTTGAATGATTTGGTCAATTTTCTGTCTACTCCCAATTAATACATTTTATGCGATGCAACTTCTTGAAAAGTATTGTAGATATAACTAAAAGCTAACTCATTTTAGGCCTTTTACTAAATCGTAAAACCTCATTGCCTCCAAAAGATGCACAATCGTTTTACAAAGTCTGCCAAGCCTTAAAAATTAGGTTCAACAGGTTTGCGTTACAATACTACCCATAAATTGCTCAAGCTAGCAATTATTCATACTAAAAACGAAGGAAAAAAGAAGAAGAAATGTGATTGATCATGAGCAGGAGTAATCCAACTTCTAATCTATCCATTGTTTGTTTAGGGTATTGAGAGACAATAAGGACACGATTCCATCTCTTTAAAGCCTAATTTCTTTCGTCTGAGAACTTCAACCTCTAGTACTATAGCTTGGACCTATCGCTTATGTAAACTTGCCTTGTCGCTTTTTATTTTCCTTATATTTTTTGTTCATCACCATGTGGCTTTTTGACCCAATCATACATTGTCATGTAGAAACAAATTTGTACACGGCAATGCATTATTGGACAAGAACCGCGACGCGGCAGCGAACCCATTTCAAATACGTTATTCTCCCTAATGGTTGGACAATATTTTTCAGAGAAAACATTGGTTGGGGTCAAATCCAAATAGTAGCAAGCTTCAAATAAATTGTTTTTGCAAATCAACCACCGGCCTTCCTCCTAACCTAATGGAAAGTGCAAAATCATGATCCTCGTAGGGTCTGGGTTCAAGGGTTGGTATCCTGTGAATTCGATGCTCTTCATCATGCCTGTTCAAAAAAAAAAAAAAAAAAAAAAAAAGCATAACACCAACCATACCAAATTCCATTGAGATAAAGGAATACAAAGCTTAGTTATATGCAGTCTATATGAATTAGAAGATACATCATTGTATAGGCATGAGTAAAGGACTTCTGTGTTGAGGAAATCCATTTATCTTTGTTTCCGGACCTATGTCCGTACAAATTTTGAGTTGTGTGAAAATTGTTGCCCTGCTCCCCATATACTAAAGCCAATTTTAATGATTCGGTCAATTTTGGCCCACTACTAAATAAACCATTTTATACTTAATATTTTTATTCAATGGTATAACTTATTATTGTATTTAGCGTCAACAACTTCACATTCTTATTTAATAACCATTTCGTTTTTAATTTTACTTCTACTAAAGATAGATAAGAAATATATTGAAGACAAATATATATATATATATATATATATATATATATATATATATATATATATAAATGGTAGAAGAAGGAAGCTTGGAGGGATGTTGAGCAAATGTAATGGAATGATATAAAAATTCAAAAATACAAACAAAAATCTAGAAACAATTCTAAATTGTTTTCACTTTCAACTTTTTATTTCATATATTTTCTTTCAGTTTTCCAAAAAAACATATAAATGGTAGAAGAAGGAAGCAGAGGCCTTCACTTTCAACTTTTTATTTTATGTATTTTCTCGCTTCACCCTCCTTCTTGAAACGATGGGTAGATTCAAATAGAGGCCACAAGGACTGATGTATGTTTTAGTGAGACATAAGAAATGAGAGTAAAAAACATAAGAACAAAAATAGTATCTCATTCCAAATAATTTAAAAAGTAAAATAAACGCACAAGAGTTTTTTTTTTTTTTTTTCATCTCATATACATACACAGGGAAACTTATTCACCAAATATGGCTACAAATGTCAAATAAAAAAGGGAACTTTAACGAAAAGCACCTGATACTGTTTACTTTAACGAAAAACCACATTTTTACACTAAAAAGTCAATCCTAGTACTATTCACTTTACCCTTTATTTTGTCATTATCATTAAAACTCAAAATTTTCAAACATTTTTCATTAGTTTTCCAAATAAAAAATGGTATATAAATAGAGATAAAATTGGCTGGGCCCAAATTCCAATGATAAGGACTAAGTTCTTTTTTTTTTTTTTTTTTTTTGTTCTTCGCATGTGTTTGCACCGGCTTTCTTCTTAGCCTAGTGGTTAATTGCACTGGCAATGATTCCTCAAGGTTATGTATTCGAAGGCTGGTACCGGCGATGTGGATGATGATGAAGTGATGACTGGATTATTATTATCAAGAGAAATGCTATGGGACTCTTTGGGACAGAAAGGAACTTAAATCAAATGAGGTATTCTAAAATACCTCTGTTTTTTTTTTTCTTAACATTTTCAAATTCGGAACGCATGAGCAAAAACTTAACACCTTATCTCTTATTCATTGTTTCATCAAGCTCAATGTCTAATCCCAACTCCTAACAAGCCAATTGACTTGATCCTTCATTCAAATAATCCTATAGCCTCATTCACATATATCCACAAATTTGAGAAATTTTTGTGTACACCCATTACAGGTATATCACGTGTGATAATATAAAGTGGGCAATAAAGTTGATATTGTTGTGAAGAGAGAGGGTGTGGCATAGAGAAGAGAAGGGGTTGAGGAATTCTGTGTTGTGAATCCTCATGCCTAGTGTCTTTATTTATAGTAATAATAAAAAGAGAAGAACTTACACTCCAAGTAATACAAGATCAAATAGGAAAGATCTTTTATATTAATTAAAAGATATATCATTGTATAGGTACGGGTAAAGGAAGTTGAATGCTATCATTTTTCATATCCTTCTTTGTCGATTGTTTGAGTTTTATTCCAACTATACAGCAACACGAGCTCCAGTAATAGTAATGAACTTTTGTGCTTAGGAAAAAACCAAGGGGGTGTATTCAATTGGAATTTTGAGGGATTTTAATTCTTTTAGTGAATCTACGGGTATTCAATCAAGATTTTAAGTGATTCTCTGAAATTCAAAGTGTATTCAATCAAGATTTTAAGTTAGTTTATTAAAATTGTTATAAATCTGGGTGTATATTCAATTAGGATTTTAAATAAGTTTATAATATTCTAGGTGTATTTAATTATAAATTGATTTTAAAGAATTTGAAAAAGTTGAGGAATTTGAGGGAATTTGAGAGATTTCATAGTGTATTTTAAGCATCCACAAATCTCACCTCTTCCCATAAGATTTCGAGAAAATTGAATCAAAATTTTATGTGGAATCTCAACAAATCAATTAAACTCCATAAAAATCCTAGATTTATGAATTCATTAAAGTCTCTCAAATTTTCAATTGAATACACCCCCTAAAACTAACAAAAACAAAAATAAATCCATCACCCTCCCAAATCATCCACGATGGGCAAGTCCCTGATCATCCATCACCCTCCCCAGCCACAAATATCACCCCATCTCTCTTTGAATTCTGGTACTACCACCTCAACCCTCTCTTCCTATTCCTCATAGATGAACAACAAAGACAACCTAGATTTCCAAATTGAAAAATACCCAATTCCAATTGGAATAGAAATCCATTTGGAGCAATCTGCTTCTATATTAGATCAATCTCCCCTATGTTTCTCTCTCTTTCCCCATGTTTCTCTCTTTCTCCCCCTTTCGTTTCTCACTCTTTAAGGAGATGTCGCCAAGAAGGTGTCAAAGGTTTTGGTTTTTTTATGGGTGGTGGGAGGAGATTCTGTCATTCTGGTGCTGGATAGGGTAGGCAATTAAGGAAGCATGCTGGTTTTCTTTAAAAACATATTAATATTATTCTTTGAAAACAAAAATATATTAGAGGTTATTTTAGGAATAATGGTGGGTGGAGAAATAATATTTTAATTCTTTATTTTTTGTGCTGGGTGATATTATAATGTAGGTGTAGAAATAGGACAATGGGATTGGCCTATCTACACCCTATTTTTATTCAATGGTATAACTTATTATTGTATTTAGCATCAAAACATCTTCAAATTGTCATTTAATAGGCATTTTGTTTTTAGTTTTAGTATTACTAGAGATAGAAAAAAAAAATTGAAGACAGATATATAAATGGTGAAGAAGAAAGCTTGGAGAGATGTTGAGGAAATGTAATGGAATGATATACAAATTCAAACTTGCAAATTAAAATCTAGAAACAGTTTTAAATTGTTTTCACTTTTAACTTTTTGTTTCGTATATTCTC